CCCCTCTGTCAGCTCTCTCCCACTTACCTTAACAGTCACGCAGAGGCTCCACTCAGCCTCAAGGACGCCGACTGCTCTGCATCCACCCCTTTTAATGACGCGGCGCATGCGTGCCAGCATCATGAAGTCAGGAGAGCTCTATACAACAGAGCCCAGCGCACACATACCTTTTCATATAAAAAGCACGTCTGCACTAAACACAGTGCCCAGTTGTGGTTCCTAGTGTGCCTTGTGTCACTAGTGTCCTTTTAGTGCATTCTTGTAACCATTTTGTGATAGTCCTTTGGTTTTGACCTGACTTGCTCTCGACTATTCTGATTTCTGGTTTCCCTGACTCAGCTTCGTTCCTCGTTATTGTGTATTTCTGGCTTCCCTTGACCTGTTTCTGACGTTTCTTGTAGTTATCTCTTTTATCTGGCCAATTATAAGGACCGACTTAGGGACTTTCTTTTTGTCTCTTTCTACTGGTGATTTTCACTCTGCGTGTTTGGTTAAGTATTATTACACCCTCCACTTTATGTGCCCCATTCTTCCCTCTCTCCCACTCCCTCCCATGTGACCCATACCCTTACTCTCTTCCCCCTCCCTTTTTTTTTACAAACATTTTGTTAACTTAAAAAGAAACCATCATAGAAACCAGTAGAATGTCTCTTAACACAACATATAACTATAATCTTTCAAGATTCTTTTCTTTCAGGAAGTGTTCCGGAGGATTGGAGGAAGGCAGTTTTGGTTCCTATATTCAAAAAGGTTCAAAATCCTTGCCTGTAAATTATAGACCTGTGAGCTTAACTTCTGTGGCTGGGAAAATATCTGAAAGGTTATTAAAGGATAATATTCAAAAATTCCTTGAGAAGAACATGGTTATCAGCAAAAATCAGCATGGTTTTATGAAGCACAGGTCATGTCAAACTAACTTGATTGCATTCTATGAAGAAGTAAGTAGAATTATAGATCAGGGTGTTGCAGTGGAAGTGATCTATATGGATTTTGCCAAGGCATTTGATATAGTTCCACACAATAGATTAGTGTTCAAACTCAAGGAAATCGGTCTAGATGAAAATGCTTGTTCTTGGGTAGAACATTGGCTTAAAAACAGAGTACAAAGAGTTGTCATTAATGGTAAATTTTCAAACTGGACAGAGGTGGCAAGTGGTGTCCCTCAGGGTTCTGTTCTGGGACCCCTTCTATTTAACATGTTTATAAATGATCTTGAAAAAAGCATTGAATGTCATGTTTCACTGTTTGCAGATGACACAAAACTCTGTAAAATAATACAATGTGAGCAAGATATTACTTTGCTGCAGAGGGATTTAGATAGACTGGGGGTCTGGGCACTCAAATGCCAGATGAAATTTAATGTTGAAAAATGCAAAGTTATGCACTTCGGCGTAAAGAATACACAAGCAACTTTTACCCTTAATGGAAGCGAATTAGGGATAACAACACACGAAAATTGGGAATTGTTATAGACAACAAACTATGCAACAATGTGCAATGTCAATCAGCAGTGGCCAAGGCCAGTAAGGTATTGTTATGCATGAAAAAGGGAATTCATTCTCGGGATGAGAATATCATTTTGACTCTTTATAAATCACTAGTAAGACCACATATTGAATATTCTGTGCAATTTTGGGCACCTGTTCTAAAGAAGGATATTATGGCACTAGAAAAAGTGCAGAGGTGGGCTACAAAATTAATAAAAGGAATGGAACATATCAGCTATGAAGAAAGGTTAACAAATTTAAACCTATTTAGTTTAGAAAAAGGTCGCCTGAGAGGTGATATGATAACATTATACAAATATATTCGGGGCCAATACAAACCATTGTGTGGAAATCTATTCACAAACCGGACTTTACATAGGACACGAGATCATGCGTTTAGACTGGAAGAAAGAAGATTTTGTCTAAGGCAAAGGAAAGGATTTTTTACTGTAAGAACAATAAGGATGTGGAATTCTTTGCCTGGAGAAGTTTTTTTTATCAGAGTCCATACAGATGTTCAAACAGCTACTAGATGCATACTTGCAAAAACAGAAATTCAAGGATATAATCTTTCAATGTAGGGTAATAACTGCTTGATCCAAGGATAAATCTGACTGCCATTCAAGAATGAATTTTTTTCCTAGCTTGTTGCAAAATTCAAAGTGCTTTAAACTGAATTTTGTTGCCTTCTTTTGGATCAACAGCAAAAAACAAATGTGAGGAAGGCTGAACTTGATGGACGCAAGTCTCTTTTCAGCTATGTAACTATGTAACACTTTGTCTTGATAAATGTCCCTAGACATCTAAACCTGGGGTAAAACATGGGATTGGGGAATAATGATGGAGTAGAACTAGGAAAATATGGCCATGTTAGTGTTTTGGATTAATGGGATAAGGCTAATAATAATTTTGGAATTAACTGGAAAGAGCTGGAAATACCATAGGTTGGCATGAACAAGGTTGGATCAAAATTGGGTAATGAAATGAGCAGTGGTGAAGGCTGTAATATTAGGAATAAAGCATATATTAATGAAAGTAAACTAACATATCGGTTTTGTTATTCCAATAACCACTTAAGGTGCAACATAGTTCCTCCACCCCCATTGTAAGTAGTCATTTAGGGTATAAAATAAAAATTTTTAAAAAGTGCAATGTGAAATCTTAAGAAACAAATTAAAACTAATAGAGTAAAAGCTGCTAAACACATGAAAGGTGATTTCTATAAACCTTCAAACACAAACAATCTACAGAGTGTCAGCGCTTCAAGTAGTTTTACCCTTTGTAAAAAGGAAAAAATATAACAATAAGATATTGTAAATCTGGTCTTCTCAGTGGTGAATATGCACTGACCAGATAAGAAAATATATTATGGTGAGAAGTAAAATGGTGTAGAGAATCCACTGTTCAGAATTGTAGTAATGTCTTTGTGGAAATTACTTCAAACGAATTAAAATTCAAACACAATTTATTCATCAAGTAGATTAAAACAAAAAAGTCCTTGTAAAAATATATAGAAATATTTAAAATAACGAAAGTGGTCTAAAAAATGTTAATAACCACTATTAAGTCCAGTACACGCAGAGTTGAAATAAAACGCCGTTGCCTCAAACCGCTAGAAGTATACTGCTGGTTTCTCCGGTTTTAGTTCAACTTCTGCAGCTGAAAGAAAGGGCTTTATACGGGTTCAGCTGCTCCAACGGAAGGGTCATACTTGTTCATCCACTCACTGCTCAACTGCATGTACTGGACTTAATAGCGTTAATAGGGTGATTTTACTTCTTACCTGGTATCTGTTGGGTGCCGCAACCCACCACTACTACAGTCGACAAAGAGACCGAATCTCTCTGCCTGAGCTAAGCCCGGCCATCTAGGGCAGGGGTAGGCAACCTTCTGCACTCCCAATGTTGTGGTTTACATCTCACCTGATGCTTCATTATGCCAACATTATGGCTATAAAAGCATTATGGAAGATGTAGAATACAAGATCTAGAGAGCTGAAGGTTGATAACCCTTGTCTAGGGCTTTGCTCATTAACTGAGAATGATCAGCTGGTGCTTGCAGACAATGAACAAGTCAGGCACTATATTGCTTAGCTTAGGAGAGCTAATGAAAGCTACAAAAGAGGAACTTTAGCCTCTTTTGTTGGTTGTAGTGAAGAGACAGTGAGCAATGCTCAGTGAACTCAGTGCCTCCCTCCATACACATTGTTTTTTTATAGACTCTCCCGCCTCTCCACTCCTTCCATCTCTTCGCTGGACTGCATGCATGTGCTCTGAGAAAGCGAAATGGTCCAATCAGAGGCTTCTCTATGAGAAAGCTGTGATTGGACTGCGTGTGACCCCAGTGACTTCAGAGGGGGTGCAGAAGAACTGCCGGGTGTTGGATTCAAGGTGTGCAGAACCTTTTATTTTGACTGCAAATTGAGAGGGAGGGATGGGGTGTTCTCCATAGTTCCCCATTGAGAATTTTATGCTGCAAAGGTCCCCCCTCTCAAAAGGATTATAGTAATCCTTTTAAAAAAATCCATTCATAAATCTTTGTCCACTGGTTTGGAAAAATACTAATCTTGCAAATAAAAAACCCTTGACAAATAGGGAAAATTTCAGCTGAACTCATTTATCTAACAATAACAACATTAATGTTAGAGAACTTCAGTCTCCACACAGAGACATGAATCAATGCCGAGACCAAAAATCTAAATGACGCTATTATTTATTGTCTCATTGTAAGCATAAAAGATGCCCACAGTTCAATGTGTGACTGTTGGTGTTTCTGCAAAATAGTGCAATAAACATTTCATCATTCTAAACAGGGACTGTCCAAAGTAGATTTTATCTTGTGGGGCCACGGCTAATAGAGAAACAATACCATTATCTGCTGGATTGACTTGGATCACTGATGTGCTCTAAATGTAGATCTCTTGATGTTGTTCAACTGTAATTCCCATGATTAGCTGTAAAAAAAAAAAGTTACAAAATGCCAAGATATACCTTGCCACACTCAGAATCAAATTACAGTGGGACCTCGGTTTACGAATTTAATGCATTCTCCGGGACGTTTCTTATTGCGAAAAATTTGTAAACCGAAACGCAGTTTCCCATAGGAATGCATTGAAAACCAATTCATCTGTTATTGAGGTCAGATAAAATTCAAAATGAGCTGACATGGGAACCAACCCACAATGCAGAACACACAATAAAAGGCATGCAAAAGATGAAACTCAGCTTGAGAAATGCACCAAAAAGTCCCAAAACAACTGCAAACAATTTCCAGAATGGCTCCAAAACTCAATGCAAAAGCCGCTCCAATGGCTCCAAAACGCGATGCAAAAGCCGCTCTAACACCTCCACACGCGATTCCATGTGCTACCCACAGGCTACAGCATGCAGGGGGCAGTGCTATAAACCTCCCAGGTGCAATGCATCCTGGGGAAACTTGCATTGTATTGCGAGAAAAATTTGTAAACTGAGGCATTATTTTCAATGGATTTTCATTTGTTACATAGTTACATAGTTACATAGTTACATAGCTGAAAAGAGACTTGCGTCCATCAAGTTCAGCCTACCTCACATTTGTTTTTTGCTGTTGATCCAAAAGAAGGCAAAAAAAACCCAGTTTGAAGCACAATTTTGCAACAAGCTAGGAAAAAAAATTCCTTCTTGACCCCAGAATGGCAGTCAGATTTATCCTTGGATCAAGCAGTTATTACCCTACATTGAAAGATTATATCCTTGAATATTCTGTTCTTGCAAGTATGCATCTAGTAGCTGTTTGAACATCTGTATGGACTCTGATAAACCGAAAATTATGTTAACCGAGGCGTTTGTAAACCGAGGTCCCACTGTATTTGTTCTTTCTGATAACCTTATGTGCATCCCAAAAATGTAAAACCACATTCAGTTTTTCAGGTCTACTTTCACGGTTACTATCAAATCACATGTTAAGCTTTACCCTAAGTAAATACTTCATGATATTATGGGGAGAAATTGCATATGCAATAGTGTGAAAAATAACCTATAGCAATTTAGCTGTAAATATAACTAAATAAAATTAGAGGTACAAAACAAAATGTGCATAGAATAATTGAACTGTGACCTGAATAACAATAAAACGTGTCTAAATCACTAGGTTAGAGCAGCAAAAATAATTCTCAACTATGATGAACATATACAAAATATGGTATGGATACAGATAAAGCTCTTTATATATTTTCGTTTTGATACAAAAGACAAAGAAAGTAAATAAAGTAGAAATAGAATCTATTTTGTTCAAATGCATAGGGTAAAATAATTAGTCTTCTTACAAGTGCTTTTAACTACATTTTAATAGAATGAATGATAAGAGTTAAAAGTGCCCCCGTTTGTTTTGCACAAGGAATAGATCTAATTAATACAAGATTATAAAGCATTTGAGTCATGTTTGACACACTTTGGCACTTTAAGTAAATTAATGGCTTTAGATTTATATTAAAGAAATTATATGAGATAAGTATAAACATAGAAACTATTTTTATACACCATGTAATGTCAGTTTACCACATAATAGGATATGTTGACATGTAGTTTAATAAGAAATAAATAGTTTTATCATGCACACTTAATAACTTATGTACATTAGAGGGGTAGAGCTGACCTCAGTTCACAAAAAAACTCAAAATATGGTCCAGCACACTTTCTTAATTCTTGCAATCCTTTTATTGCCGTTTGTACATAGTCAAAGGCATCATTTCGGCCACTCAATTAGCCATTGTCAAGTTCACCAGTTAAAGGTTACTCCAAGCACCATAACCACTTCAGCGATTTGAGGTTTTCATGGTGTGTGGCGTCAGAATGTGCAGCATTTTACTTTGAACCTCTGCACATACTGAGTTTAACTATTTTGCTGCTGTAGGTGTAACTCCACTTCTGGCAGCAATACAGGAGTGCTATCATCAGCCTGGAACGTGTGTTCTGGCCTTTCTTTGCAACTTTCTTTGCACACAATGAGTGTCATTAATTGAGAGTGGTCAGCTAACACTCTCAGCCAATAAGAAGTTGAGAAGCAGACCCAGGTAAGGAGGTTTTCACAGGTAAAGGTAAGGGTTGCGAAACAATTTGCCTCATTACCAGGAAACCAGGTCAGGGTGCACCTGGTATCACAACCACTACAGCAGGCTGTAGTGGTTATTATGCTTAGATAAATCTTTTAGATGACAAGAGTCAGAATAGACACTCTTGTTAAACAAGGTGCTTGCAGTTTTCCCTTACACCAAGGCTACAGTGAGAATTAAATGGCATATGCAGGATGCCGTTTTGAAATCCCTGGTTTTGATTATTAATGTTGTTTTTTATGTTTTATCAGAATCATAGCTCTATGCTAATGTGTGACAATGTGCATTTGAATTGTGCTTGAAAAAGGACTTTAATAAATCATTTATCAAGTAGAATGGTCAACACAAATTACAGACTGTCTCTCATCACTGATAGCCGGCATGCTAGATAACAAGTGGCTGTTTAATAATTAAATAGGTTCTGTTACTAGATATGCAAATATTGTCCAGATATACATGTAAACAGGATAAATAGGGAACATTGTGAACACAATGTGTTACTTTTGCAATTTTGTTGCTGAATTACATTTTGATGACTGTGTAATCTGAGTAAATAAAAGATATTTTATTTTATTCATGTGCTCATATTGTAACAAATTTGCAATAATACATCTGAAAGACCATTATGTAAAAAAAAAATCAATTCTTTTGTGTAATGTTGCTGTGATTTTTTACATATACAGCTGAAATCAAAATTATTCAGTTGAATTTGGGGAAACCACGTGAAACACGCATTGAGCCATTTCAATTGCTTTTGTTTGATTTTTGTTTTGTTTGTTCATTGTAAACAGCTGAAAGTCACTACATTTTAACAATAAACCTGATTTTTAATGGGGGTTGAATAATTTTGATTATAACTGTAAATGCAAGCTTGCACTAAATCCTCTTGCCCATCTCTTCCAAGAGCAAGTGGAGACATTCCAATGTGGAATCACAAAGCTATACCTTTGCCATGATTCTCTGCATATCATTTTAGCGTTCAAATGAAAGATGTCACTTGCAATTGCTTGAAAGATGTCACTTGCTCTATCAATTTCAAAAAAATATTGTGAATCACTGAAACATAAACTGAAAGATTGCACTATTAATTTCTTTCCCAAGACCAAAGTTTTTGAGTGTGAAAAGTGGATATTTTTCATGTTTTCCATTGGCTTGGAGTCCCTGAGCATGTACCATGCATTATTCATGTACAGGGTTATATACTAAGAACTGAATGCCTGCATTAGAGCTGCCAAATCCAGGAATTCTTCTGAAGATTTACCCATGTCTAGATTTGGTTTATGTTGTGACAGCCTTACAGATTGTTTAAAGCATAGTATACTAGGCTTCTTGATGTAGGAGACCTTTATTTATAGACATTTTAGCAGAACTAGCAAAAACAGCAAGCTACATCACTTAAATACAGGGCTAGGCTTTTCACAAGGACTCAGCACTCATGTCAGGGTTTCTCAAGGCTTCCTGGTTTTTGTCTCTCTTCAGTCTGGTGTTGTATCTCACAGTGCTGCTAATTTTAAGTGGTGCTACTACAGGCTATTACCCACAGACTGAAAGGAATCTGACTCTGCTTCCAGATAACATCCCGCTAGTAATTATCTCTCTACTTCAGACCAGCTTTTCCCCTACTCTTTTGACATAACATTGGTTAGTGGCTATGGTTTGCTAGTTGCTTAGATATTTGGTTGTTGTCCCTGCAACTTGTTCCAGTGACCTCCCCATATCCTGACTTCAGTGGCTGTTTGTGTCCTATAGCCTGCTTTGTACCCAGTTCCTAGGAATCTGCTCCTAGCTCCAAGTTGGCCTGCTCCAAGTTCCTAGGAACCTGCTTCCAGTTCAAATTTGGCCTGCTACCAGTTCCAAGGGCCTGCTCCCAGCTCCAAGGGGCATGATGCCTACATGCATCCAAGTCCCACTCTTTGTATAACGTATTAGCTTTGCTGTTATCTAATGTTTTTATTATTATTAAATCATTGGTTCTTAGTTTGTCATGTTAGTTTACTTTGTGCATTATTCAATAATAGATTTCTTTCACTTTCATTCACTGTGTTATGTTTTTCCCTTTAAAGTGGGTTCGAGTTTAATTGTTTTATTGTTGAGACCAACTGTCTTAGCACCTCTGCCAGTCCAAACCCTAACAAAGCACTCACATAGGTACTAACATTGGTGATTTGTATAAAGAATAATTCTGAGCAAAAATATAATTATTACCATGGGAACCAATGGCTGAGTGTCAGACTGTTCCACTTGTAGAGCTCTGCCAGAATTATTCTTTATACATGTGGCGGAACATACCATTCATTGTGACTATTTGACTTTTCTTTCATTCGGTAGTTGTCCTAGCCTAGCCCATTTGGTTTGGCTCCTGAATAGGGAACCCCCTGTACCTCATTAGAACCCTGGAACATTGATTAACACATACGTGTGAAACCGCAAAGGAAACGATTATGCGTGCTTTCCCTGGCTGGCAGCCATTTCGCATAACTGAAAGGAATGGCAGCCATTTTGGCTCCTGAACACAGGTAGCGGGACGAGGTCATCAAAATCCTGGAACTTTTTTCGGATAGACGACTTCACGAACATCGGACGACCCCACCGCTACCTGCTCCGTACCCCGAATAGCAAGGAGATCGCTCTTCGGGAGAACAAGACTATCAACCAGGGGAAGCATTCGCTCCCTGGAAGCAAGGCGATACCATTGACGGTTTTTTACAGGAACCCCGGAACGGAGACTGGCCATTGTACCGCTTTCTATGGAACTGTTTTGGGCTTCAACCTCATAGCCAGCCAGTCAGAATTTTACCCCAGTGGCGATTCTATTCTACCAAACATATCTGAATGCTATTAGGCCAACTTTGGAGCTCAGATCTGGGATATGACACTTGGGGTGTTGCTGTTGATATTGGGGATACTTTTGGGGGATTGTATAAATATTGTGTTTGGGTCCCTGTAACTGGGAGATAGTTGAGTTATAGTTTTTAGATTCAGTTATCTCCCAGACACAGGGACGCCAGTGAGTGGCTTGCTATATTTCTGTATTTCTGTATAAATTGAGCATGTTGGGCCTGAATAAACCAGATGACTCCCTTTACTATGTCTTGTCTAGTTACTGGGGGGCATAAGAGCTTAATCACACAAAGGTTCCAGTCCGGCTGAGAGGGAAAATAGAGGAGGTAACCAGTCAGGTTACTCGGAGTCCGCTGCAATACATAAACCCAACTGAAAGATACAAATATGGGACTAAAATATCATCATGTCTTTGACATGAGTAAAAAGTACTTGATAAAAAGATTTCAATTGTGTTGGTTGTGGTATAGATATGTGGTACAGATATGATTTCTCCCAACTTTGACTAGTTTTCACGGTAAGTGGTCAAAGGTGGCAGCTTGAAGTTTCTGGTGGTGGCTAGGCCCTATAAAAATTGTTATAAAATGACTCTGGGTATGCAAGCTGACATAGCATACAACTTTGAAGTAAAAAAAATAAAGATATCTGCTTATGTGAACATAACTATGCTTTTGAATCAACACGAGCTGGTATAAATAAATGAATTTATACATGCAAAACCATCATGAACACAGGCAGATATTCATGAACAATCCTGCTCACATAACCTTGCATTATCGTGCCATATAT